AGAGGATATGAAGAGGCATTTCTCTAAAGAGGACATACAGATGGCCAACAGGCATATGAAAAAATGTTCAACCTCACTAATCATTAGGGAAATACAAATAAAAACCACAGTGAGATACCACCTTACCCCGGTCAGAATGGCTATCATCAATAAATCAACAAACAAGAAGTGTTGGCGAGGTTGTGGAGAAAAGGGAACCCTGGTGCGCTGTTGGTGGGATTGCAGATTGGTGCAGCCACTATGGAAATCCTAAAAAAACTGGAAATGGAACTACTTTATGACCCAGCAATTCCATTCTCAGGTGTCTATCCAGAAAAACACAAGACACTAATTCGAAAAAATTATTTGCACCTCTATGTTCATTGCAGCACTATTTACAATAGCCAAGACTTGGAAACAATCAAAATGCCCATCGGTAGACGACTGGATTAAGTAGCTGTGGTACCTTTACACAATGGAGTATTACTCAGCTATAAAGAAGAAGGAAATATTACCATTTGCAACAATATGGATGGACCTAGAGAACATTATGTTAAGTGAAATAAGTCAGTCAGAGAAAGACAAATACCATATGATCTCTCTTGTATGTGGAATCTAAAGAATTGAGTAAATGAGTAATGTAAACAGAAATAGTCTCAGAGACACAGAGGAAAAACTGATGGTTGCTAGATGGGAAGGGGTGGGGATGAGGGAGAAGGGGAAGGGACGAGACAATCCAAAGCGGTAACTACAATATGGCCTCAGGGATAGAAAAGACAGTTTGGGGAATATAATCAATAATGTAAATATTTTTTAGGGGACCAGATGAACTCATGTCTTGTTAGGGAGACCACTTCATGGACGGTGTAGAGACCTGACCACTGCACTGTACATCTGAAGCTGCTGTTGAATAATATTATATGTCAACTATAATTTAATATATAGTCATGGGATGTGGATTATAGTGTGGGAATGGAGTCCATGGAATTATAATAGATATGTATGATATTGGGGGTTGGGGGGCACTGAATGGGGAGCGGGGGGTTGTCACTTTGTGAGGGGTGGAAAGGATAACTATTGCATTGTTTTGTACACCTGAAACTAATTTTTTTTAAAAAGCAGAGCTATAAAATAAAAACAGACAAATTGGACTTCATCAGAAATTAAAACTTGTGCTGCAGTGATAAATAACATCAAGAAAGTGCAAAGACAACCCAAACAATAGGAGAAATTATTTGTAAATCATAAGGGTCTAGTATCCAAGATGTATAAAGAACTCTTACAACTCAATAATAAAAAGAGAACCCAATTTTTAAAATGGACAAAGGATCTAAATAGACATTTCTTCACTGATGATACACAATGGCCAATAAGTGCACAAAAAGATGCTTAACATCATGAAGCATTAGGGAAATGCAAATCCAAATCACAAGGAGATACCACTTCAAACTCCTTAGGACATCTGTAATAAAAAAAGACAGACAATCAGTGTTGGCAAGGAATGTGGAGAAATTGGAATCTTTATACATTGATGGTGGGAATGTAAAATGATGCAGCCGTCTTGAAAAACAGTTCCAGGGGCTCCTCAAAATGCCCACTGTAATATACCGTATATTAGAGTTACCGTATATCCCAGCAATATGACTTCTAAGTCTATACCCAAGAGAAGTGTAAACATATGTCACACAAGAACTTCTACACAAGTGTTCATAGCAGCATTAGTCATAATAGGAAAAATGTGGGAACAACCCAAATGTCCATCAATTGATGGATGGACAAATAAAACGTTATATCCACACAATGGAATATTTTTGGCAATTAAAAGGAGTGAAGTCTGATACATGCTACAATAATGATAAACCTTGAAAACATGCTTAGTGAAAGATGCTAGCCACAAAAGAACATATATCACATGATTCCATTTATATGAAATACCCAGAGGAAACAAATTTATAGAAATGGTAGATTATTGGTTACCCAGGGTTGAGGATGAGGGGAAATGAGAATGACGGCTAATGGATGTAGGTTCTAAAATTAGATTACAGAGATGGTTCCACAACTCTCTGAATGTACTAAAAAAGAAAACGTTGAATTTCACACTTTAAAAGGGTGAACTCTATGGTATGTGAATAAAGTTGTTAAAAAGAATGACTTGGTAGGGAGGGGGACCATTGAAGCAGCAAATTCCTCTAGATATTGAAGGCTCTGGCCCAGCAGACCAGGGACTCTTGATTGTAACAGTCATTTAAGCTCCATCTTGTGGATGAGGAAATCAGTTGGGCTGGTGAGTTAGCCATGTAGTCTGGAACATGGCCCTGCCTAAGCAGATGGGGTGCCAGGCTGATGCTGTCTCTTCTCTCTTGGCCAGGTGGTTTTCCAACAAACAAAGGCATGAGCTGGGCCCAAGCCATCCTGCTGGCCCGGGGCCTGTCTCGGGGCTGGGGAGGCATCTGTGGCGCTGCCCTCACGGGAGCACCCTTCTCTCAGGTAACCACCAGGTCACCAGGGTGGAGGGGGGCAGGCAGGCAGGCAGGCCTGGGATCTGCTCCCAAGCCCTTCAGAATCCACCCAGTGAAGCCAGCTCTGGGGGATCTGGGCTGGCCTGACTGCTCTAAGGACCAATTGAATGTCTCATTCATTTTAAAAAGTGCTGATGCCCACATGTCTGAGGGGTTTGAATTTGAAACTAAGGACGTATTCACATGAGATAAGTGGGTGGTGACTGTGGTAACTCCTACATCCACTTGTAAAGATGTGGGCAGAAAATTGAACTTCCATCCCTTACCCAAATTGACCAGATGGCCCAAGTCAAGCAATGGCCATAGATTGCAACAACAATGATGATGGTGGTGGTGATAATATTGGGTTGTCAGAAAAGTCATGACACGTTTTTGCAATGAATAACAGAGAAAAAATACGTCATGACTTTTCCGACAACCCGATAGTACCCTTATGAGCCCTTCCTCTGTGCCCTGTGCTGTGCATTTCATTTACGTTGTCTCCTTTGTGGGGTCTCCCCTTCTTTGGGTTATTCTAGAACATCCTTTCCAATTTTTGTCTTATGCATATACCACCTGTAGTATTAGTTGCCTACACTTTTAATTTAAATTAATGCCTTTTCATTTATTTATTTATTTTTAACATCACCCTATCTAAGCAGGACTTCAGGCTGGCTGTTGGGGGCAGCAAAGCAGAAACTCTAATCCCAGCTCTGCCACTCTGCAGCTCTGTGACACCAGGCATCCTACTTCACTCCTGTGCCTCAGTTTCTTCATCTGTAAAATGGGTACAGTAAGTGCTCAACAATGCCTGGAACATAAGAACACTCAGTAAATATTAGTTCTTATTAGCTATATATTTAAAGATGCCTTATGTATAACCATTCTCATTTAAACACTCAGTTTAANAGCCATAGGCACACCAATCAGTAAGGCCACTAACAAGTTGTAGAGGCAGCTCACTGTACTCAGCAACCAGTTTAGGACAGTAGAGTGGGGGTCAGAGTGAGGGAGGGAAAGGGGAAGGCAGGAGAGGAGCAGGAAAGCCCTCACATGTCCCTAAACCCAAGTACCCCAAACGGACAAAGGGCTGTGAGCAGACAAATTGGCATAGAAGTCTGTGAAGTACTGTAGGCTGCCCTGGAACTGGGCAAAGATGGAGGAAGGCAGTGGTAGGGTAATTAGGCATGCAAAGGCAGTCACGTGGGGCTGTCACAAGAGACAGTTGCTGGGGTTTAAAGGTTGGGTGAGCATCAGGACAGTTGTGACAATTGTCACAAGGGACAGTTTCTAGGGTTTAAATATTAGGAGGCACATCAGGAACATTCGTCTATTCATTTTGTAACTAACATCTATTGAGTACCTACCATGTTCCAGGGCCTGTCTCTAATGCTGGTGACAACACACACAACAGACAAAATCTCCCTGCCTTATGGTAACAGAGCACACAGGAGATGTTCAATACGTGGTGGTGGTGGTGGTGGTGTGTGTGTGGGGGAGGTGTCTCCAGGGGTCTTTATTCCAAGTGGTAAAAGCTGAAGAGAGAAACTGCATAGTAACCTGGGCACATCTGATGGCCTAGTTGCAATGGACCAGCACCGGGTCTGGAGGGAGGCAGGGGTCAGAGGAAGGCAAGAGATTAAGTGAATGTGACCCTGGGCCCACCCAGCCGTACCCCATCTACCATGGAGCAGGTAACCAGAAGCATCAGCCACAGTTCCTGGGGCGAGTGAAGCAGGGAGTCCATTGACACCCCCTACGCCCCATTCTGGACAGCTCTGGACAGGCTAGCTGGAGGCCTGGCATGGAGGGGTCTAGACCCTGAGTCAATCTCTGCCTGGGCTGGAGTAGAGAGAGACAGAGGGCTGGCCCACGAGGATCCTTAGCCTAGCTCAAAGAACCTTCCTGGAGGGGACCCTTCCTCACCTGAACACCTTCAGCAGAGCTACCCCCCTACCCCATGCTACCAGATCCCCGCCCCCACAGGAGCGAAGAGTAGGGGTGGGAGTGACATGGAGAATATCCACCCCGGCCCAGCTGACTCTTGGAGTGAGGTTGATTTTGATTGTCTCCTTGGAGAACAAACAGGTCGTACCGCCTGAGGGCGCTGATGGCCAGGGACAGGAGGATGGACAGGCACTTGGGGAGGAGGAGGAACAGTGAGTGAACCAGAAAAAGGGAGTTAGGCCCAGCCCCTCAGGTCCCGCCCCTGCACTACCTGGAGGCGTTTGCGTGAGTCCAAGGCGCTTCTGTGCCCGCGTGAGGCTGCGGAACACGCGCTGCCCAAGCGCTCGGAAGCTCATTTGGCGCAAGACGAAGCCAGGAGACTGAACCACGGAGAGGGGCGCCAAAGGGACGGGCAGGTGCAGTCATTGCGCTGCGGCCACGTCTACCCCCCAGGTACCTCCTATGTCCGACTGCCCAGCTACTATAGTCAGCAGAGTGGATGCAAGATGCATCATCTCTACTGTCGCCATACCCGGAGGCAAAGAGATTATCCGGTGATCACGGACATGCCCCACAGGGAAGAAGTACAAATGCAGGGACCCAGACACTGCATTTTTCACACGTTTGGGGGTACTTGCACTCTTAATATTTCATTCCCATATTTCCGGTGGGAAAACGGGCCACCAGCTGGATTCACGGCCCTCCCCAAGTCCAGCCTCCCAACCCGGAAACAATCCAGTCAGTCCTTCGAGGGCCACACTCAATTCCCTAGGTCGGGGTTCGGCTTGCCTCGTTCGGGGCTGGGCCTAGCTCGTTACTAGGCTGCACCAAGGTCGTTCTGCCTTCCTATTGGTACTCATCGCTTTTGGGCGGGACTTTTTAAACGGGCGTTCTTGATTTGCTGTCTCCCCTAGTGGTCCGTGACCCGGAAGTTCTCCGGGCAACATGGCGGCGCCCAGTGGTAAGACGCAGCTGTCTGGTATTACGCGGCCACCCGCGTGAGTAGGTAAGTCGCGCGTGGAGAGGTGAGCGCGAACTCCAGGGCCCCGGGGAGACTCATCCTGGGCCGGCAGCGCGGGAGGGCGGACTCAGACGGGCCCGGCTGCAGAGCCAGGGCACCATGACCTTTTAGGGTTTGGGGCTGGGACTTGCCGGGAAAGGCCTCCCTCCGTGCACCCGCCTCTTCCTGTCCTTAATTTCCAATTTTGCAGATGAGATAGCTGAGGCTCAGAGTGGTTAAGGCCTTCTCCCGAGGTCACGCCGCCGGTCGGCAGCTAGGCTAGAATTCAAACCCGCATCTGCCTGTTTCTCCCAAGGAGCCCAGAATCCTGGCTGCCAGTCTCAAAGCTGCTGTAGGTGCACCCTGCTATGGGGTTCAGATTTATAGGTTATAGACGTTTTGTAGAAGTTGAGCTCTTCTTCCCATTTCACCGATACTTGTTAGGTACTTATCATATAGTATATATACCAGGCACTGTACCAGGTGCTGGAGACACAGCAATGAGGAAGACAAAAACCCGCCAATCTCCTGCTGGAGCCAGACATTGAACAAGTCAGAAAGAAAGAGAGCAGATGATTTCAGATGCTAGTAGGTGCTAAAAATGCATTTATCAGAGTGATGGAGGCTTTAGATAGGGAGTGGAGCAGCGCTGTTAGGGAAGGCCTCTCATTTGAATAACCCAGAGACACCAATGGACTGATCCAAGGGAAGAAATTTCCAAACAGAAGGAAAAGCAAGAGCAAAGGCTCTGAGACTAGAATAAACTTAGCTTGTTAAAGACACAGTGTAGCTGGGGCTGTCAGTGATAAGGGTTGAGTTTGGAGGGGTAGACCCTGTCTGATTTTATCTTAAGTATGGTATATCATTGGCAATTTTAGGCAGAGAACACTGAATTTATTTCACGTTTTAAAAAACTTCCCTTAGCCAAGGTTGGGAGAACTGACTAGAAGCAAGTAAGGAAAGAAGTGGGAGAATGGGAAAGAGGTCATGGATTGGGATGTTGGCCTACAGATGGAGAGAAATGGATGCATTGGGGATGGATTTGGAAATAGTCATCAGGACTGGATGGATTGAATGGGGGAGTGAGGGACACAGGGTACTCAGCAATGAATCCTAGGTTTGTGGTATGAATAACTAGGAATGGTGGTGTCATTGGCTAGGATGGGGAGGAACAAGTTTAAACAGGGATACCATTTTGGAGCAAATTAAGTTTGAGATGGCTAGGTATACACCAAAGTGGCAGTTAGGTATGGAGGGTGGTGTTCACGCCTGGCGATAAACATTTGGATCCTTCAGCACATAGGTCATCATTTCTCAGACTTTAACACACATAGAAGAAACCTGGACTCTAGTTAAAATGCAGATTCTGATTCAGTAGGTCTAAGTTAGGGCTGAGATTTTGCATTTCTAATAAGCTCCCAGATGATGATGCCAATGTAGCTGGTCCCTGGAACACACTTTGAGTAGTGAAGGTTTAAATTAAGGTCTTAATCTTAGCTGTATATGAGAGTCATTGGCGTGTGCTAAAATGCTGATGCCTGGGCCCTGCCTCTAGATATTCTGATTTAATATATCTGGGATATATCTGGGGTGGGGTATGGTCTGGGCACGGAGATTTTTTTTTTTTTTTTTAGCTGAGCCATCCTGCTACCTGTTGGCAGCTCAGCGGCTGCTCAGCTCGGGCTGGACTCGAACCGCTGTTGCTCAGAGCTCAAACTCTTGAGCGAGCTCTTAACCAACTGAGCCACTCGGCCGGCCCTACACGGCAATTTTTAACAGCTCCCTAGATGACTCTAACATGAACAGAGTTTGAGCTGCCCACAGGAATACAAAAAAGAGAGGAACAAGTTGAATGACACCTCAGAATAGTAAACAGACAAATCCAGAATGTAGGACTCTTTGTAGCCTTCTTACTTAAAGTGTGGTCTCCAGATCAGTAGCATTAGCATCACTCAGAAGCGTGTTAGATGTGCAAGAGTCTGTCTCCACCCCAGAGCTGCTGAATCAGAATTAGCATTTTAATAAGATCCCAGGTGATTTGTCCACACATTCAAGTTTGCAAATGTTGTAAACTTTAGAGAATGACGTGGGTCTTGCTGATTAGCTGAGAACCAGGCCTGGGTGCTAGGAAGAAAATTAAGATTGTCAAGAAGGTGGCAAGAGGACCTCACCCACGCCACATGCTACTGCGAACTCAAGCAAAATGAGGCCTGAGAAGTAATCGCTGGCTTTGATAAGTTTAGAACACACAGGAGCCTTTAATGGTGGTGTTAGTGGAGTGATTGGGGCACCAGCCAAGTTGGAGTGAGTAGAACACAGTGTGTAGACACCTCTCAGGAAAAGTTTTGTTGTAAAGGGAGCAGAGATGTGGAGGAGAGGCTGAAGTGAGGCTTCAACTCAAGATGGGAGACGCTAGAGAAAGTTTAAATAGTGATAAGAATAATCTAAACATGTCCCAATTCATTTGATGAGGCCAGCATTACCCTGATACAAACCGGACACTAAAAGAAAACTACAGACCAATATCTCTTATGAATATGGATGCAAATATTCTCAACAAAATACTAGCAAACCAAATTTTAGCAACATATAAAAAAGGATCGTATACCATGTTCAAGTGAAATTTATACCAGAAATACAAGGTTAGTTTAAAATCTGAAAATCAGTTAGTGTAGTATACTGTAATAATAGAATAAAGAAAAAACACGAGTATTTCAATAGATGCAACAAAATCATTTGACAAAATCCAATACCCTTTCTGATGATAACATTCAATATCTAGGCATAATAGGGAATTTCCTCAACCTGATAAAGGGCATCTATGAAAAACTCATAGCTCAC